GGTTACTGCGTAAAAATGCATAGAGCCTCTTTAATTGTTTGAGCCAGAATCTCACTCACTATCTACCAGCTTGTGATTAAAATCCAATTTTCATTTTCAATAAAATCTCTATTTTGCGTGACAAATTTTATGACTACATTTTTGAAATATTTACATATTTATAACTAAAATTATGTATTTCACAAAAATAAGTGATGTGTTAAGGCAATGACGTTAATATTTTTGATGTTTAACTATTTTTGTTAGTATTTTGTTGTTGATAAAGTTATATTTCTTCAATGGTTGAATCAAACAATATTACTTTATAGCATTTTAATGGTAAAGTAATTTTGAACACCCACTATTTGTTGGTAAGACCCGCCATTGCTTGTCCACTTAGAACAATTAGAACATTGCAATTTAATAATCTAAATAAAAATAAATGATGAAATACTTACTTGAATTGGATCAATGAGATGCATGATAAATAATTAAATATGATATTCTCACTTTTTTATGAGTATTGTAGTACTCACCTTAATATAATTGTAATAATGGGATGTATATATCAACATGCAGAGAAGAATGAACAATTGTCGAAAGATGCATCAGCAGACGCTAAACACAAAATTCTGGCAAGTTCACGCTAGTTTGCTCTTTTTTTTTGAATAATTAACATTTCAAAGTAGATGTGATGAGTACCGTTGAATAAATACTACTCTTCATAATAGATTAGGAGTAGAACAAAAAAGAACTCTTCTTGTTATACACACTTTTGTACACACTTTGTACATTTATCTGTGTACACAGATAATTGGGAGATAAATGATGCCTTCTTCTTAACGAACTGCCTGTGTGCACATGCAAAATAAGGGGTGTGTGTACAAAAGTGTGTACAAATAGATTTTTTGAACAAAAAAACATACTCGATATAAATACGATATATTTTATTTGCTCATCTATTTGTCTATCTATCTTATCTTTCTAATAATTTCATACTACTTCCGTCCTACAAACATCGTAATATCAGGAGGTGACACAGTTATTAAAAAAGTTTATGTAGCTAATATTGAATTGATAAAGTAAGAATACAACAAAAATAATTTAGAGCCAAACAGACTTTACCAAATTTGGTATGAGACAATATTAGTGAGACTTTTTGAAAAAAAAAATGAGATAACTTTAACGGGACGGTGGAAGTATAATATAAATAACGTATGGAGTCCAGAATCTATTATGTTTATAGGAAGAGTTTTTTATTTCTTAACAATCAAGTATGGACTATATATGGAGCCCATTTGGTGAGCATGTTTTTCGACTTATCAGGCTTATCAATCATCTTTTTCACCAAACACGTAACTTTTAATTTCGCGCGTTAAATTGTTAAATAATAAGAAAAAGTAATGTTGTAGTTACTTTTATTGGATCTATTGGTTGAAGTTACTGTAGACGACCACTTTATTAGCAATTTTTTCGTATAATTTTTTCTTTATTTTATTAATATAATACTAGTATATTTTAAGTATAATTTTTACATAATTCTGCAAAATCAGTCAATCCAGTCACTTTAACCAAAACTTCATAAATTTCAGTAAAATCAACCGATGTAGTCGATTTTGGTACTACCAAACGGACTCATGGAGTATATAAGAATGAGTTTCTTAGAAATATTACAAATTTGTTGCAACAAATATACAGTAATTGAACTTAAAATATACGGAACGTGATAAAAGCAAGAAATAACTCCATAAGTATCATTCTCTTCTCTGTTAAAACAACAAGATTTGAATGTTTTTTTTTTCTATAAAAAGATCATTTTTTATCAAAGTTGAACCAACTTCTTAAGATATTTAACTTGCTACAGCCTACAAAAATACGAAGTCTATTAGGCCGAAACTAATTAAATTATACTAGTAAGTTTTTAAACATATATAAGCTTCGTTTATGAAAATTTTGAAACACAACGTTAATTGTACATCGTCAGAAAAAAAATATTCACATAAATTGAAGTGAACATGACTCTTTTATGAGATGAAGTGAAGAAACACTTACATATAAACATCCTCGATTTGGTCACTTCAGACCGACGGGAACCACCGTCCGACTCTACAAATGGGCTTATCCGGACGGCGATTCCCGTCAATATGGACTGACGAGATCATTACTCTACAAATAACTACTCCCCCTGTCCCTTAAAATTTTGTCAACTTTCCTTTTTGGATGTCCCATTAACTTTGTCACTTTCCCTTTTAAATAAAGAATTTGTGTTTCCAATTAGTTCTCTCTCATGCACAAACCTCAACCATACAGTTTTTATTTTTTTACTTTATTAATCCCCGTGTCAGTCAAACATGACAAAGTTTTTAGGGGCGGAAGGAATACTATATATGTATGCTTTTAATCGGATTGAAATTTTGTGATCTTGTTGACCATATATGTTCTTTTTAAGTTTGGTATGTCTAATCCGGTCTCATAGATGTCGGCTCTATATATGTACTCCCTCCGCCCCGTAAAGAAGTTCCTAGTTTGGCCTACACACATATTTATGTAAGGTAGAGTTTTGTTTTGACTTTCCAAGTATACCCTTACTTTATGTCAAATCAAACAAAAAATAGGTAAAAAGTAAATGTAATTGTGACTTTTTAATTAAAAGTGATTTCCTTTTATAGAAATGAGAACTTCTTTTTGTGACATCCATAAAAGGTAGTATTATACAACTTTCAAGAATTTGAGGTTGGGGCGACTGTCCTCTCAACTCTTACTATCTGTTTGGATGGAGAGTGTTGAGGAGTGTTAGTGATCGGTATTGAGTTTTGATTGCAGCCAATCAAGTCCACGATGATTACTGGGTTAACATGTGTACTCTATACGTTAATTATCTGAATTTTATTGCCCAAAAACCACTCCTTTGATTTTCAACAAATACGAAATTCTAATAAGATTTAAAATTTTTCCTTTCAGTTTAACCCACCAAAGGTACGGTCGAGAGCAAATTGATTTTTAAAGTGAATAAGCTTTGTTTAACCCACCAAAGTTCCAGAGTAAATTGATTCTAAATTGATTTTAAAATCAATCAGAGAATCGGTTAATTTTAAGCAATAAGCTTTGTTTACCTGTTTTAATTGTTAGGGAAGAAATAAAACTTGGGGATGCAATTATGGGTGGAGAAATAAAAACTTGTTTTAAACTTTTAATTGTTTCGAACTTCGTTTGGAGAAATAACAAAAACTTGGGGGTGGGTTTTTCAAGTAACGGTGGAGCATGCAATTATGAGTACATCATAATTTAAAAGGTACTGGGATATTTTTAACACTTCAGTTTTTAAACTCTTTTATGTTTATACTTTACACTTACATTTATGGTCACTTCCAGGTCTATGCGAGCACTTACTAACATTTTCATTAGTGGTTGTGTATATGTTTACGACAATAATAATATACTCCCTTCATCCCAATTTGATTTACAAAATTTTCTATTTTGGTTGTTCCAAAATGGTTTTCCACTTTCTATTTTAGGTATGTAAATAAGAATAAAATTATAAATTTACCCTTACTTTTACTTTTTTCTCATTAACTTAAAGACATCTACTTTTAAAAATATGATCAAACATGTAAAAAACAAACATCATTTATTGTCGTTCCTTAATCTTTGTGTCGGTCAAAGTTTGTTTGCGATTTTAATTTGCAAGTTTAATTTTAATTTGAATGGATAATTTAGGTCAACGAGATGGCTGCAAAGTTGAATTCTGATACAAAAAGCGGACTCAACAGGAATCAAGTAGAGCCGCATAAGGCTAAATATGGATCCAACACATACCCGGAGAAGAAGGGTCGCAGTTTTTTGGTATATCTACGTACCTTCATTTAATGACTGGAAATGTTTTTTCGTTATTGCGGCAAATTTATTGTGACTGAAATATTTTACCTGCTCTAATTTGATCTCAACTAGAATGAATTGTTTTGGTACTGTATGTATATGTTTTAGGATTTAGGAAACAAGTTCTGGATCAAATAAAAACTTTTCTTCCGGTGAAAACTACAAACCGGTCATTTTTCCCCATTGTGATGCACTATTAGGTTTCCATATTGCACTTTTTCACAATGGCATACAACTTTGACTTATTTACAAAAGTGTCACCGTTTTTTTCTATTTGACATGATTCGAGCAAAGTTCAAAAAGTGCAAGAGATAAGCTTTAAAGTGAATCAAATTGAGTCTAAAGTGAATCAAATTGAGTCAAAAGTGACGATTTGCAGTTTGCACGATAAGAATGGTTTTTATTGGAACCGCACCCTTAGGAAACATAAAAAATAATAACCTTAATTATTGCCGGATCGTTCTCAATAATCTCAACTATTAATTATGATTATCATCTTTTTTTAGTCGCAACATAGAAAATTTATACTACCTCTGTCCCACTATATTTGGGACAAAGGGGTGTAGCACAACTTTTAAGAAAAAGTGGAATTATGTGGTTAATATTGAATTGATAAAGTTTGAATAAAGTAAGACTGAATTGTAACCACCCAAATATTTTCAAATATGGCATGTGACAAACATAATGGGACGGATGAAAAAGGTATAAAAGGACAAAATTAGGGGGACGGAGAGAGTACTATTCACATGTTCTATTTTGATCACATTTTTAATTTTTAATGTATGGAAAATTATTATTTTTTGATAAATATTGATGAATTCGCACTACATAAAAAGGGTGTGATACCAACGAACTTTCCAACGGATTCTAGTGAAAAAGTCGTTGGGAATGATATTTCCAACGAAGTACCAATAGAAATTGGCCGTGGGAATACAATGGTTGGAAAAAATTCCAACCACCATTTCCATCGGATTCTAAAACGTGCCAGCGGAATTCCAACGGATGTATCTGTAGGAAATTTCCCACAGATAAGTTCGTGGGAGAGTTAATAAAAATTAGCTAGTTTCAACATAAAAATTAACTGGATTTAAATTACATATTCTGGATGAATGTACTAGCGGACCACTAGATGTTAATTTCTTTCTTTTTATTTATAATTGAGTGCTGGTATTGTAACATTGTAGAAAATCACCACCTACAAAACTACACAATATAGAACACAATCTCAAAACATGGCATAAAAAAGTAGTATTCTGGATTATTAAAACACAAACAAACAACATAAAACAGAAGTTTGACAAATTAAAGGAAATTGTTCATTACAACACACCACCAACGACTCAAATTCCAATAACTTCTTCACTGGCCTCCTTCATTTCCTCTCTCATTTGTAGCAAATATAGTGCTCAGAAATGTGTCATCCAGACCTGTGCTATTACGGTTTTGTAGAGGAATGAATTCAAATGCCACTTGAGAAATGAGAAGGCATAGAGGGATGAAGTGGCACATATTGCTGTCCGGCCATGTAGCCATTCGGGTACATTGTTGGGTAATAAGGGGCCTGTTGTGCATGCAAATTGTGAGTCATCCCTGATGGAACCGTATGAAACATAGACGTATGAAGCTGAGACATAAGACCTTGTGTCATATTTGGATTTGAAAGGTTGTTCGACCCATGAGTAGAATCCATCCCCCGCCTCACCATCATTTGTCCTATTTGATCCATTATCGACGATTTAAAAGCATTGAAATCATCGAGCTTCACATATTGGGTCTGTCTACGCGATGTGGTATCTAATGAACCATTGCACATAACCATTGTAGTAAAGGGATCTACCCCAAATATTTTGCCTTTTTTGGAGATACCACTTTCAAAAAAAAACTGCATTTTCATCCACTTTTGTTCCCTCTTCGGAGTCTTGTTTTTACGGTCTACCTCTGCTGTAACTTTTTCCTAATTAAGATCACAATTTCAATAAGTACTACATTAAATAAACTGGAAGTAATTGCAATACTACTTGTAAGAACAAAACTTATATTCTAAGCCAAAATTAAACTGGAAGTAAACTGGAAACATCAAATACAAAGAGTAAACATAATAATGCACTAAAAGTAATTATGACATAATATTCCTTAATACTTATATTCTAAGTCAAAAAATATAAATACTCATGTATTGAAACTGAAAATGCGTAAAACAGTACAAATATAATTATACCGCAAATTTCTTGAGCTCGTGGATCACTCCATTCACTAGTTCCTTTTTTTGGAACCCATCTTTGAGAAGCTCATTAGCAAGAGGTGTCCTACCCAATTGCACAGGTATAATTTATACTCCCTCCGTCCCTTAAAACTTTGTCATCTTTCCTTTTTGGGACGTCCCAAAAAACTTTGCCACTTTCCATTTTAATCAATTATTTGTGATTTCTGTTATTTCTCTCTCCTCTACACAAACCTCAACCACACAGTTTTTACTTTATTATTCTCCGTGCCGGTCAACTTTGGCAAAATTTAAAGGGACGGAGGCAGTATTCAAAAGAGTAATCAAAATTCCAATTGAAAGTCATAAACTTCAAGAAAGTTAGTCAATTCAAAATGATTAAGCGTCTTCAAAATGTATGTTGTTCACACATATACAATTTTTAAGCACTTGCAATTCCTATACATTAAATAGAATGATTAAGGGGTTATTTCCTCAATATTACTAAATTAAAGTTGATTTCCAAAAATGTTATCACTTGTATATTTCGACAAAAATGTGATTACCATAAAGTGACAATCAAATATGCGTGTCCCTATCCAATTTTCATGTCACTGTCGGATGTCACTGGCGCCATCCTTGTGTAACTATTGCCGCCATTGCCCGTGTCATTACCGCCGTCATCGCTCGTGTCACACCGTCACCGTCACCGACCACACAACCACAATGACATCGTCGTAGTGACACACCGCCGCAGGCCACCGTGACCCAATTACCGCCGCCAGGCCCATCACACCGCTTTGACCACTGCCTAGCTCAACCGGTCACAACCCCGGCGGCCACCAGCCCCATGCCCCAGCACCCCAAACCCAATAGACCACCGCTCCAAATCCATTCCACCAACCAGGTGCCAACCACCCCCATCTGCACCCTCCTCAGTTAGCCCCAGCCCCTCCTCTTCCCCGTCACGGCCCCATCACCAGCACACTTCACAGCGTCCACACGCATTAGATCCTCACCCCCGGCCCTGCCCCCAAGCACCACCCCCATCTCCTGGTCCGACCAGCCCAGCCCCCAGTCCACCCCTCCCAACCTCGAATTAGCCCCAATTCACCTCGGCCAGAGTAAGGTGAAGAAGAAAAAGAGTGCAGATCTCGAGGAGATGCCAAAGGTTGGCTAGCTACAATGAAGAAATTCGTGGCGATGGGAGTTGGTTGCGACGAAGACAACTGCGGCGATGTGAGTTGGATGCGACGAAGACAGCAACAACGATGGTTGGCTGGGACAAAGACAGCGGCGCCGATGGCTGGCAGGGACGAAGATAGCGGCGGCGAGGGTTGGACGGGACGAAGACAGCTGCGGTGGCTGTGAGGAAGTCGTTGTTGGTCTGTCTCCTTCAATCCAATTGTCGGCAGCTCTGCTTCGTTCCAAGAGGGAGAAGAGAGAAAAGTTGAATTTTAGTCATATATCTGGAAATATTAAAAAGAGTCATATTTTTGTCTTATTTTAGTGTGGGAGTAATGTTTGTGCCATTCTTTCCTGATTAAGATTGAAGAACCTTAATTAGTCCACCACATACATATTTTATGTACTTCAAGAAGAAATACCAAAATTCTAAAGACTATTTTTTATTAGGGCACTATATATTAAACTGATCAAAAGTATATTTTGTTAACATGTTAAATCTATATATGTAAAATATAATATATATATATATAAGAGAGGCATATGTATACGGTGAGAAATTTTTGTGATTCGAAAGTTGATTAGGAAAATGACACTATGGATGAGGTTAACAAGGGATTTATGTGCAGAAAGATGGGCTGTTTTGCTCAGACATGGGGTAAATGTCATATTGTCTATAATTCTAAACTAGCATATAACCCTCCTCTATTGGTGCTATTGTAGATGTTTCTTTGGGATGCTTGTCAGGACAGGACATTGATCATTTTGATGGTAGTTGCAGCAGCTTCTTTGGCTTTAGGGATCAAAACAGAGGTTAGTTTTCAAAAAACTTCCCCAAAAGTAGTTGCGTTACGCCACACACTTTTTACTGCCATTCTTCGTGTACACATCACGTCTGGGCGTGTACATGCCGTTTTTTACACGCCACTCTCTTTGTGTGTTTTTAGATGAATTAAAATTATGTGTACAAAAATGTGTACAAATGGCGTGTACAAAAGGATTCCCCCAGCCCTCTTTTTACCGTATGTATTAAGTACTCTCCAGTCTCCACCCACCCTATCTTCAAATTGTTTCAACAAAGAAAACTAATTCCATTTGAAATTGTTATGATATTCCAACAATAACCCCATGACAAGGTTAATATGATAAACGCTTGGTTTTTTCCCCCGGAATAATCCACACAAAGTGGGGGGTGCCGGGGAACACCTCCCTAATTTATTAAAATAAAGTTGTCGATAAACGCTTAGTCAAATTTAATAATATGGCTATGTAGAAAACTAAGACGCCTGAGTTGTAAGAGGTGTAACCAAGGTATTTGTCGTGAAATTCAATAGTAATAAATGTGTTAAATGTGACTCTTATTCTGACTGAAGTTAGTAATAATTCATTTACACTTTATTATCTTATGTCTTTAAGGGTTTAAAAGAAGGATGGTACGATGGAGGGAGCATTGCTTTAGCGGTCATCATTATCATAGTCATAACGGGTATACAAAATTCACCTTCAAGTATTACCTCTTTTATCTTTCCTAGATTTATCTCTACCTTGTCATATATAACTAGTTTAAGTACAAGTATTTTATTTACTTTATTAGCATATTGGTAATATATTTTTGGAATTGATTCTGCTTCTGCTTCTTTTCTAAAAGTAGAAGTAGAATCAGAATTAGTTTGCAGAAACTGGTCTCCCCAAGCTTCTAAAAAACGGTTTCCTGAAAGAGCAGAAGTAGTTTTAAGAAGCAGATCCAAACACCCCCTAGCTACTTCGGGATGTTTGGATTTACTTCTTAAAACTGCTTCTGTTCCTTCACCGAGCAGAAGCAGACGTCAGAGTGCTTGGATGAAAGTATAGAAGTACTTCTAGCTGCTCTAAATTGCTCATAAAAGCAATTTTTTAGAAGCGAGGAGGGCACCAACTTATGAAAAACTGATTCTGCTTCTGCTTTAAGAAAATAAATAGAATCAATTCCAAACACCTCCTTCATCATCTAAATTATCCAATCCAAACCCATCTTCAAAGTTAAATTTTCGTATTCAAATCTCAAAAGATTTTATTTCTAAGACTAGTTTATGTAATTATTTGTTCATTTTAAGTTCACAAGTTAAGTTACTTTGTTCCTGAGTAGCTAATGAGTTCGGTAAAGATATTTACTAATTGTTTTGTTCTTGCTATCCAACAATGAGCGATCCGTCCTGGATAGAACTTGACATTTGCTTTTGACATAGTATTTTAAGAGCTCAATTAATAGAAAAACAAATGTCTTTTTTTTAACCTGGAAGGTAAACAACCAAAATCAGTGAGGTAAATGCCGGAAACATTTACCATATTTTATTAGAAAAAGAAGTTATACAATGGAAAGGGGGACTATACCAAAACTTTTCCAAAGGAGGCATTCCTCCCAATAAAAACAAGAGAGAACAAGAAAAAATAAGCGACAATTGGGGGGACCAAACCTGACCCAAATGAATACAATCAATAAAACATTCGAAAAGAAGGAATACCAATTAAATCCATATAATAAGATCGTTTAGCCATTGTGGGAAGATCAATGGGCCTATTAAACCTACTCAATTGGGCCGTGGATGACAAAGCCAGATAGTGAGCAGCCCAATTAGTTTCTCGCCAAGTATGTCGAAATGATACCCCTTTCCTATTCGATGCAAGTAGCATTTCCTGAATCAAACCCTTTCATCTGCCCCTTCACAATCAAATGAGATGTAAGAGAGAGCTTTACCGCATCATATTCAACTTGGAAGTCGGTGTATCCAGCCTCCAACATCCAACGAGTAGCAGTGATAATAGATAGAAGCTCAGCCTCAAGACTGGAGGAGGCTTCGATGGGGAAAGTAATGGCCGTAATCAGCTCGCCTCGCTGGTTTCTAAGAATCGCTCAAATGTCCTTTCGACTTTTGGGGAGAATTAATGCTATTCACTCAAATGTAAAAAGTGGGTGGGTAGTGAAGGGTAGTTAGAACTTAGAACATTTAATGTAAAAGGAGTTGCTTAAAAAGGAAACGTAGGAGTAAATGGAACGTTCCAAAAAGGAAAGTGTAAAAATTTTAATGGGAGGGAGGGAGTATGATATTTTGCAAGTCTTTTGTTTCAATTGAGTTTTCATCTCACCACTTTCTTGTATTTATGCATGTGAACAAACAGCTTAAGCTTAACTTTATAAACTCACCACCACCTCTATCGTCACGTAGCATTACTTCATGATAAATGATATTCTCTTTCTTCAGCTATAAGTGATTACAAGCAATCCCTTCAGTTCAAAAGTCTGAATAAAGAGAAGAAAAATATACTGACAAAGGTTTCTCTTCTCTCACATTTTGGTCTTATCCTCTTTATTTGTTATCCTTTTTATTTTTCTTATATTATTTGGTGCAACATTATTTGTAGGTGATTAGAGAGGGAAGACGAGAGTCCATATCTATATATGAGGTCGTTGTTGGTGATGTTGTACATCTAGACACTGGTGATCAGGTGGACGCTAATTCTTTTTCTTCCTCCGTAAAAGACTTTTTGACTCTTGGAACTTATTTTCTTCATATTATTACTTATTCTAGGTTCCTGCTGATGGAATTTTAATATCTGGAGACTCTCTTAAACTTGATGAATCGTCAGTGACAGGGGAAACCAAATTTGTGAGTATTTGCTGGAAATCCATTTGGAAGTAATATTGTTTGTATCTTAGTCCAAGTTCTTGTTTACTATGAATTTTTGGCTGTCCCAGATAGATAAAGATTCAACAAATCCATATTTGAAGTCTGGATGTAAAGTAGGAGATGGCTCTGGGACCATGCTGGTAATTTGGTTTTGATGATATTATAATGATTCATATCCTGTAAATGAGTAATGAGATGAAAATCCAGAACTTTTGTTTTATAGGTAACAGAAGTTGGGATGAATACAAGATGGGGAAAGCTAATGGCTAGCATTTCAGAAGACAATGTGGAAGAAACACCTTTGCAGGTTGAATGCAGTGAAACACATGAATTCTAATAATATTTTGTGGATCGTTGTGCTTATCGCTACACTAAAAGCAATCGCTGATAGTGCTGGCATTGCATTGGTCCGCATACCCGCGACCCAACATATTTCATACTTCGTATATAAGCTGCAACATGTATGTGTATCTTGTCAGGTACGTTTGAATGGAGTTGCAACATTTATTGGTATCATTGGGATTGTGATAGCTATACTTGTTCTAGCTGTTCTTTTGATCAGGTACTTCAAATGTAGTTGGACCAAGTCAATTTGAACTCCACATTTGTGTTCCAATACTTAACCATTTTGTGCATGTAATGAATAGATTCTTTACTGGACACACAAAAAATCCAGATGGTTCTGTACAATTTCAAGCTGGGAAAACTAAAGTTGGTGCTGCTGTAAATGGGGCTATAAAGATTTTCACTATTGCTGTAAGTTTGGGTGAACACTATTTAATTTTGGTTCGTTTGGTTGAAAATTG